TTCAAAAACCACAATTGCCACTTTGCGACTAATTCACACAGATACCTCCGGTAGACGATGAAAAAAATGAAAAAAAAAAGGCGATGAACGCTACCGCGAATTCATTAACACGTTTATTCGGATATTTTGTTGCAGTTGTTACAATGACCACGACGTGAAAATATATCCACATAATTCTTCCTTGTCGCGAAGTAATTGTTCACGAATACATTTGATAATTTATATGCTTATTGTCTTCGATGATAATCACAATATTTATAGCTACGTGTTCCACTGTGATTCGAGTATCTACTTCGATCGGTTAATAATGTAGACGCTATCTGTTATCATTGTCAGCCATTGTAATTGTTACGAAAAAACCGCCGTTAGAGAAATTGAAGAGATTAATATTCCACAAAAAACGACTACCCTTGCGTGCAATATTCTTGTATGCAAGTGTGGAAGCAAGACGCAGAACTTTCCTATTTGGGGATAAGTTGCTCTGTTCAGGAATTTTCCTTCAAATGTCCTGAAAACAGACGTCCCAAGTTTAAAAAGAGGTAGATAGCTTTCAGAGGGCTTTACATCTCTTAAAATTAAACTGGTGGGAAGCAAGGTTCTGGGTGTCTGGGTTCTGACTTGTTAACTCAGCTATATTGGAAAAAGATAGCAAGTCCTCCAATCCGTCTCTTTCTAAATTTTTCTTTTTTTCTCTCTCGTTTGGACGCCGGTCCAGCCTGACGTGCAGTCAATTTTTCTATGTCTATGCGTGCCACACACACACACACACACTGTTCTTCCATTTCCTAAACTCTAAACGAAAGAGCCTGCCGAGCCAGTCAGCAGGTCGAAAGATCACGTCGGACCATAGAGCACAGATCGATACCAAAACGAGTAGACGCGTTCAGGAGTAGAATCTCGTCGCGCGCAGATTTTTCCGCAACCCTGTGAAGAGGATGTATCCTCATAACGCGACGCCGTTGGCACGAAATCGGCCGCGCGAACGTTTTACGGCTCCACTTACGAGTAAGTTCAAAGAGTAACGAGCGGCGTTAACGCTCGGCCCCGGTTACAGGCGAGTTCATAAAGCGTCGGTGGCTCTTTGACGCGGGCGGCAGGTATCGCGTGCAGAGTCCCCGCCTCCCTTTCGCCGAACGATCGAAGATCGCCCCGGACCGACGTGCGAGTTTCTCCGTTCGACAGACGGGAGAGAAACGGCTGCGGCAGCGCGTGTTATCAACTACCGGGACGAAACTTTTTGCATTATGTTAACTTGCGCGCGAAATGGCCTTCCACGGGCCCGTGAACTGGATGAGCGACCGGGTGACAGAAACTTTGCTCCATCCACCTCGGAAGGGACGTGATCCTTCGGATGAAACTGGTCCTTGTTTATTCCTCTTGCCTGAGACGCCCTCGGTCTGTCCCGTCTTCGCAGCTGAAATATGTCTCGTGGAATAAGGTAGCTGACTCTCCCGATAATGGGGACGAGGTACAGTTGGACAGAATGGAAAATTCAGCAGCTCTCGCGCTTATTTAGCTCGAGCAATTTTGAAACTTGTAACTTTACTTAATAAACTCTCTCTGATTTTACTAAAAATTGGAATTCTGGTCAGCTGTCTAGGGGATTAGTATAAGTTAATGTAACTATCTAAAAGAAACACGCAAGTATTAAAAGGTATACTAAGTAAACTAAAGTACACTAGTACTAAATCTTTACTTCTATTCCCTGAAGCTCATATAAGCGTGGGGCGAAGTAACAGGTCTCTCGGGTAAAAAGGTTGTAAAACACAGAAAAGTACATGTCTCAGCGTTTTCGAATTCGCAAACTGGTAAATCACTGCTAAACCAAACTACTCGTAACCACGTACCCCACCATTTTCCATCGTTCCGTGCACGGCGCGAGCATTCCCCATTCAATAAGCTGCACACTGTCGTTTTTCGAAACAACTCACCCACCGCTGGACGCTCGTATATTCCGCTCGTTTCACGATCGGCAGAACTAGGAAGCCGATGGGCGTACCCAAAGTTATAATACAGGCGATGAAATTATGGTAAGGTTCCTGGGAAATTTCCATCGTAACTTCCGGCCTGGGGTACGGAATCGATGCAGAATGCGCGGTTGATCAAAGTTCGACGCCGCAGCAGCGTGGATGGGCACTGATCGACGCTGCGCTGGCGAAAATCGGTCCGGGCCGTTGGGAAAGAGAATTGGTCGGATGGTAGGCGAGTGATAGAGTGGCCAATAGTATGTGCGTTTGTGAGAGAGAGGGAGAGAAAGCAGCCAACTTGCACTTTATGCACATATGAATACGTATGCGTGAACTGAATGCCGGGCACAGTACACACACACACATGCGGTGGAGTTTACCAGAGATTGGAGATGGAATCACTTCGTGAATCACGTCACAACGACCTTTTCGTTTTGAAAAATGCGATTCCCAGCGATCGAAACCAATCGCAGCTGTTCGGTGAATTCGTTCTTTGTTACCACTTTTTTTTTCTCCATAGAGCACTGCTCTGGTCGTTTCAATGGAGGTAACCGATACGCCCGGGTTCGTGGCGACACGTCACTCGAATGTGAAACCGATGGAAAAATTTCGTCACTGTGAGAATGCATTCGACACTGCGACAGTGCGACGAAACTTTAAGTTCGTACGTGATATATCATGAATACTCATTATAAGTAGGTGCATTCCCGATCATAAATATTAAGACATTCAGAAAAATGAATACAGTTTGGGGGATGTTAAAGCTCGATGGACAATGTTAATGCTAGTATGAAGTAGTAAGAGTAGTATATATGATTTTTACGAAATGTCACATTTTCTTCATTCTGATCAGGTATTATATTTAAATACACATGAACGGTAGTGTACTTCTGACTTGTCTTGTTATATCAATGAGGTCTGTGTTACGTAACAAAATATTATTCGGTTAATATAGTTACCTGTCTGGAAAATCTCTCGAATCCGCCGATTTTTCAATCTGTTTTATTTATTTTATTATTTTAAATTATATTTTATATCCTATACGAGTACACGAGCTTGAGGTGAATCACGTGGAGTTGACTTGGAACTCCAAGTCACTTTGAAAGTTCACTTTGGATGAAATAGAGATGAAAACAATCTTTATACCTTTCGGTATGGCTGAATCATCCGCGTTACATGTCCAAAGTGTAAAGTCTGAAGATGAATTTAAGCAAACTTTCGCGATTTTGTCGATGTTTAAAATGCTCCAAGTGAAAATATCCCACGTTTTTGTTAACACTTTGTAGACTAACCAGACGGGACGAAGTAGTTTGATTATAGGGTGGAAAGAATGTTATCAGCGAGATAATTCGTCCCTTCTCCTTTATTAACGAGCCCGTCCTACAGCATTCCAAAACTTCCGAAATATGAGAACCGCGGCTCGAATACCGATAATTGCTAGCTTCTTCCGAGGAATTCGAGCCCTTAGAATCGGGAAACCCGCGGACAGGAATAATAGACCGACGCCTGGTTGCTATTGCAACGGTTAATTGAAGCGTACCTATATTGCCTCGAGTAGCCCGTGTTTAGCCGGACACTTATCGGAAACGTAGAACGGGGTTGGCAAGAACTTATCCGTCAAGTCAGGATCAGAGGAACAGGAAGCTCTATTTGACCGACCTATCTCAACTGCGATACTAACTATCGCAATGGAACTTAGTTTTTGGTCCTTGGCGAACGGGAAAAATGGCATCGACCTAAAAACATTGGCAACATGAGTGATTTGGTTGGCAGCATCATCTAATACCGTCTTGATCATGGACACAAAGAAATAGTTATTGTCTACGAGAAAATTGCATAAATATTTATTAAATACAAGAATGTTTAATCTTATCCGAGTCGTAGGATCCTCAGACTGGGTCCCGATTTCTGTTCATAATTAGACAATTCTTGCCAAGAGGAGATAAAATTATATTGATTTTCACTTTGAGTCAGACTGGGTTAAGTCGACTAGGGATTTAATATTTCCAGACTTGATATCCGCTGAAAGCGATAACTTATTGAAAGCCCATATAGAGTAGTACCCGTACAGTTCTTAGATTCATGCGATTATTAATTATACTGGTCTTAGAAATTGATAGAAACTTCAAATACGTCTGACATCGATAGACCCAATCTACTTAACTAAGAAGATCTGTCTGATTCAAAGTAATCGAATCACCATTAATGGTAGTCTTCCGTTCGACACCCTAATAATTAATTTGGAATCGACATCAGAAATTATTATGCACAATTGAATTCTGTCAGGCAGTCTGACAAAGTCAGCATTAACAATGCAGTTAGTTTAACGACCCTCCCTGTATCGTAGCCTTTCCTCGAGAGTTTCATTCGAAGTTGCTCCGGTAATGCGAGACTCCGAGCGAAAGTGCACTTCGCTCTCCAGACCCGATTCAAGTAGCTCCAGACATTGCCGTTTGATCTGTCCCGTTGCATTGAATCACGCCGAGTGTCCCTAATTACGCGGGTGCCCTTAACAAAGTCCACCAAATCGAGCCGGAAGCTCTTGAACTCCGCGAAACGGTCGAATATATCGCGCGTTGCTTAGGTTTTGTTTCGCGATCACGTCGCGGGAAGGGAGAGGCGGGGACGATGACGGGTATCTCAATCAATAACATGCCGATTCCGCGAATCTCGCGACACCTGGACGTGGGATCGGTGTAACGTGTTGCCAGGGGTCGTAAGAGGATCGTTCAGCCGGCGGTTCGGAAAATCGTGGAAACTCGCGTTTTATCTGGCCCTCAGCGAAATGGTCCTGACGCAGGCAGATATCGTTGGGGGATCTCCGTGTCCACGGATAGAGACAGAGCTAGCCGGCCAGCCTGGTCGGTTTTTTTTTTTATTCCCGCGATAACGGCCACGACGTGACGAATGTAACGGCGAAAACGATCTCTCCGCTCACACTGCTGTGTGTTTCCAGATCCAATGCTGGGGGAGATGGTGGTCGAGGCCGGGAAGAACGTGACGCTGAATTGTCCGGGGGTGACGGAGGACTCCCTGATACTGATGCTCGAGTGGCGGGCGGACGGTATGCGGCTGCTCGAGTACAACAGCGGCACCACCACCGCGTGGAAACACCAGGACAAGGACAGGGTCTCGTTGTCCCCGAAGAATTACGCGCTACAGTTCCATCCGATCACCGCGAAGGATACGGGGGAGTACGTTTGTTTCGTGAACAATCGGAACAGGCCGGAGGCTGTCATGAAGGTGATGGTGCAAGGTGAGTGACATCTAATTCATATTTTTCGGTCGTTCGATGCCGGGTGCACGATAATTTCGGATTGTTGATTGGAGAAAACGATACTCGCTATAGGCATACATTCGTGGAAGGCTCGTAAAGGTTTGTGAGTTAATTGTTAGTGAGAAAATTATTTTATTTATGTCTGACTAAATGTTCAAAGTGGTAGCCTTCCTCAATGATACAAGCATGTAATCGTTTTGTATGGTTATGAAGTATTGTTTCAATCATTTCGGATAGATTGGAGATAATTGATAACACGAAAAAACGTGTTCGACGATTAGATTGTATTACATCCAGTAATTTATTTAATGGGTACCTTTCTATACAAATGTATTCGAAGTTATACGCACTTGTCCTCATTGGTTGAACACCCTTCATTGCAACGAATGGGGTCAGCTTGAGCTCCCTCGAGATCGCGAGGGGACACGTGACATCCTTCCCCTCGGATGGAACGAACGAGGCGATTCGAATGGAAATTACCAATAATTGGTCGAACGGCATAAAAATAATTACGCCGAATTCGGACGAACCTCGCGATTTCTCGCCGGGATTGTCCAACTCGGCCGGCATCGCGAGTGAATTAAAAATTAACCCCGGCCCGCTTGGCAGAGCTCCAACGAGAGCAAAGGGGGATCAGGTGTATATTGCGATTTGTTCTTCCAGTCTGCTTGAAACGTTCGCGACATATTTAAATCTGTTCAGCAAATAAAAACTTCTTTCCGATCTGCAATATCCACTGGGTAATTTTTGTAGAATTTCTCGCCTCGAATACAAATCCGGAAGCAGAGTTGCTTGATCATCCGTGGTTATTGAAAAATATAAATTTTTGTAAAAATGCACGATTTTTGGCAAGAACGATGTGTTATGTAGAAACTAAAAACGCTGGAAAGTTCAATTTAGTCTTCAAAGATGCCGGGTTTAGAAGTAAGCCGGGTTAAGATGTAGAAAAAGGTACATTATTTTAGCATTTTTCCGAAAAACTTTTTATGTAGCACAAATTTGATGTATAGTATCCGATGCCTCCATAGACAGTTCTGACGAAAGAGCCACCCAGAAAAAGTGTCATAACGGTTTTTAATTCGGACAGGTTGCTGTGATATATGCTATAATATACGCGAAGTTTCTAGAGCTTTTGGTTTGGATGTAATATTCATGTTTTCCTGAAACTGAGACTGATAGAGCAATTCTGCTTTCGGATTCATGTCTGGAACGAAAAAATCTACAACGATCGCCCAGTTGATATCACAGATCAAAATTCGTGTCGAACAGTGTAAGTAACAGTAAGACTAACAATAACTCACTGAACAAGAAAAATGAACGACATTTATCCGTCTGAACTTCGAGAATCTATTGTGCAACGAGGTACCACGCCCGAATACGAACGATCCTGGATAATATGTAAACGATCCACGAGAGTCACGCGCCGCTAAGAATTTTCCAGGTGTTATTATTTTAAATAGGGCTCCGAAGAGTACGCTCGACAACTAACGAAGGCAATTTTCGAGCCTTCCCAAAGCGCGGCTCAACCACGCGGCAACCGAGCTGTCGGCAACTTCGCTCCCTCGCCGCTTCAACGTTATTGGATACACTTGCGATCCACGAGGGGGGTAAATTTCTGACTTTAATCTGAAAGCAGTTACATGGTCGCAAACGATGGTCAATCGTCGGGGGTTAAACTTAGTTCTGACGGAATCGGTGATTCGAAATTTCCATATTTCAATCGAATAAAGATTGTTTTCTCAAAAATAAACGTTTCCATATCGATCTACAGGCTGTTTCCGAAATGGTGGTACAATTCCGAAGGATTCTACATGCAAATGTAAGTCGAAAATATGCAGTAACATTTTTTCTGTACGATGCTCCAGTTTCAAGATAATCAATTACCAAAGTTCATATAACATAATGAATAGAACATTCGTACAATAAGTAGAAACAGAATTCAATGGACAGACAGGTTAGCCAAATCCTATTCAATTGCACACTGGATAGTAGATGCTCAAATTCGATTTTCTCGAAAACGAAGCCTGGTACCAAAAATAATTATTCTATATTTCTGACTTATTATTGAATGTAGAATTACGTCATTTAAGATTGTACCACTATTTCGGAAACACTCTGTATACAGACAGCAATTTTTTATAACGATACAACCTAATGTATAATAATATTTATTATACAGGGTGTCCCAAAACAGGTATAAGTCCTTGAAAGGGGCGATTCCCGGGGTGATTTGTAACAACTTTTACCTTATCGAAAAAGTTCTGCAAGATAATGTTAATATCTCGTTAACAAAGCCTCGGAAAACATTTTTGCTAAAGAAAAACTTGTTCCAAATCTCCTCACAAGTGACATATTTCAGAAACCTACAACACTTTTATTACACCCTGTATATCATTATGACAATAATATAATCTATAGTAACCCTTACTACTGCTGTTCGATAATGCATACACCGATTCGAGATTCTTCACAGTCTCCTGTACTCATAGTATCTCATAGTTACCCAGTCACTGAAATAACATTCATTCGTGTATCTCGTGTATCCAAATCAAAGGAACACTTCCAAATTAATCGCATCATCGTGCGAATAAACTTTGTCGATCGTTCCCCGTGATCGTTGACCACCAATTCCAGAACCGACGACGATCTTTCGTCTCCCAAAACACGCTAAACTTCCCGCCACGGTACCTTTTTTCCCATCGGCCGACCAGGGAATCGCGGCGTACAGACGCTCGAAAGTTCGAATGCGTTTCTTCTGTTCGTCGCGCTGTTAAAAATGAAGCGAACTTTTCCGGGTGCACTTTCATTGCTTTCAGCCGAGGGGGTGGCTGGGAAAGAAGGGAGGGACCGACGAGGACCGCAGGGAATTTATAACAAGTCGCGGCGCGGATCGACCATGTTTCGCCGCTTTGTGAGCCGCGGGAAACTAAAAATCCCTGTAGTTTAGGCGACGTTCTAAGCCCGATGAAATATTTCGCCTATGGGGGTATCGTGCAACAACGAGGGATGGAAAAGAGCAGCAGCCAGGTATCGTCGTTCTCCCTATTGAACTGAAAGAAAAATTAACCGATTCATTTCGTTGAACCGGTGCGTAACAACGGCCATTCTCTCGGCCGTTCGCTCCGCAATTTGCGTTCGTTCAGTTGCAGCCACGTTGCAGTGGTTGGTCGAGTTTGCGCGAAGTTCGAAGTTCTGAAGTTATACCTCTCGACTGACGAAGAAGGGCTGGGAATGTACGAAGGGATCGCGTACTTTCCTACTACCTCGTTTCGTCTGTGATGTCTACCATGCTTTATTTCACAACCCCGAGACTCTCTGTTCAGCCAGAATTCGGGATTCTCCTCTGTTTGTTCTAAGTATTTACGGCTGATTTGAATTCGTCACGTGCGAGCTGACGCGCGCTTGGGTCAAAAGCCAACTTTTACTATGTGTCCCATAGGCGACCGGAATCCGCGGGAGTTCTCGTTAAAACTTCCCTCGCGCAACTCGTCCGGAAGTTTCGGTGTCGAACGCGCGAGCGCGTGAACGCGTTCTGGCGGAGGAAATAGAATGAGATAGAGAGACAGACAGAGGGAGAAAGAGGGAGAGAGAGAGAGAGAAAAAGGGAAACCGAACCCCCCTATCGGGCTGTGTCACCGGTCATTTGCATTCAATGCACGATCCACGACTTGATTTGAATAACAAGTTCCCCCCACCCTACCTTCCCCCTCCCACGCGGCTGAAACGAACTGCTTCGTAAAAGTAAATTTAATATTTTCCCGGGAATTCGTTCGTTCCTGCCGGAAGCGAGAAACAAACGACGGTTTCGTGGACGATTAGGAGTGGCTCGCTCCCGCGGAAACGGGAAACTCCCCATCGATTTGCTCGAGATGCCCCCCTCCTTATTTGTGAACCGTTTCTTCGGGACGTTCGCTCGTGTTTTTGCGAAACTGTGCAAACACCGTGAGAAATGACTGTTGCATACTTACAGCTCGAACTATTTTACAGACTGTCCTTGGATGTCACGTAAATCTATTGGGGATTTATTAACGCTTGTAACCAGGGTCCGATGTTTATAATATGGTAGACTAAACAAGACAACGATACTTCGTCTGAGAAAAGGTACAGATTTAACAAAAATATTGCAGGTCCTTGAAATTGGTCACTCGTCAGGTGATTTGGAATAAGTTGTTCCTTAGCAAAAATGTTATCCGAAGTTTTGTTAACTGAATATTAACGAAAAACTCCGAGCAATCAGGTCGCGGAACGTAGAACGCAATTTCATAATTCTTGATTTTCGTCTTAGTTTGCCACCTAGAGTCCACCCTGTGAAGTGCCCAAGATTTTTATTAACAGTGTAAAAGGTCTGTTGCATTCTTCATTTAGCAACACCTAGCAGAACTTCTAAACCATAGAAGATAATACAAACTTCCTTCGTTGAAATTAGTACCATTATTCTTCTTGATAGTACAATAGTCAAGCACAGAATCATAAATGCACCTCAACTTAGTTAATCGTGTCTGCACTCTTGATTCGTCAAAGGTGAACGTACCGACCGGAAGTCACAAGGATCAACCACGTTCACGCGGTCCCAGTTTCGCGTAGCGAGACTCTGCCCGTCCCTTATATTGTATATTCCGCGTGGTGCCTGATAGCGCCCGGAATTCCGAACACGTGCCGTTTCAGCGGTAACCAATATCCCACGGTATATCAACCATTAAAATGAATATTTCTCGAGTCCGTGGCGGAGCGGAGCTTTTTCCGCCGCGAGGAGCGCGCTTTTCACCGGAAACTTCCGCGTTCCCTTGATTTCTTCTGGAACTTCGTGAGCGTAGTTTCACGGGACACGGATTTTCCGTTTGACTTTCCCATCCTTCGGAGCACACAGCCGAGAGTAAATTCGACGCTTCCGCGACCTGGTTTTGCGTGGAATTCATGAATCACAGTCGAGAAATTAAACTTGACGCGTGTGAAACGGCCACGGAATCTCTCGATAACCC